TAAAACTGAAATTACTTTTGCAGTTAGGAAAAGCGCAAATGCCAACTGACCTAAAAATAATTTAGTATGTATTTATGCATAAATATAAGGCATTTGCCAAGTATTTTATAAATAATACACTTTGGTGCTGGTTTCCAAATTAAAGGTCAGCAGCAGCATTTTTTTTTTTTTTTACTTTAGTGTGCGTAATTATGCTAGAATATAAACCTCTCCAGGTATATGTAACTATGAAGAAAAAAGACCAAGTAATGGAGCTTATCTCATTGTTTCATATTCTATTCCATAGTTCTTAGAGTATACATGTGAATGTATCCTCATAGCTGTCCTGTGTACAAAAACATGGGTGACTGATCAGAATCCTACAGCAGCATGGCACCATACCAGCTTTGAAGTGCAACTCCTTTTCCTTGTAGTAGAATTCAAACAAACTGAGCACATAATTGCTGTCAGTAAATGCTATGTGACAAAACAAACATTATTTGGCTCTTAATAGTACTTGTCCTAGGGCACTGGCTGTCCTGTCCATACTTATCATCAGTAGCAGAGAGGAGTGTGGTGGCTCACGAAGTTAGAATGCTGAGCTTGCATACCAAGATGAAGCCACTAAAGCAGATGATAGGCTGCAATTTCATTCTGATGTTTCCCACTATTTAAAGGACTTCTTGCCTTGTACTTTACACTGTGAAACCAGGTGACTACCAGTTGCTGCTATAACAGACATCTCTATTATGAAAGAAGGCTGGTTGGTAGAGAAAAAAAAAAAGCACTGAGTTCAACCTTTGTATTATTTAGGTGGCATTAAACAATGTATTATATAGAATTTTTCTATTAGCTAATGGCATGTGGATTTCTGCAATCCTTTACTGGTGGCTGTATATGGAAACCTATACTTATGTACCTGCAAATTTTTTTATATTTCACAGAGTATTTGCCAAGGCTTAGATTATTATACTTTAAGAGTAGCAATTTGTTTTTCAATGACTTCTATTTTTACAAGGAAATTGTAAATATAAAGCATCACCAGAGTAACCTTTTGAAAACATGGCAGATGATTGCAAGTGTATCATTATTTATTTTGCTAAAGGGAATATGCTTATTTTCTCTGCTTAAGACATATGGTAAGATAGTTACTTTAACTCCAAGAGGCCAGAGTAGTATTAAAAATAAGTATTTTTTCAGAATGGCATAAATATATCAGGGATTTGGAGCTCTGTGCTCCATATCCCTGACAAATTTATCTCATCATCTCTTAATCTTGGACATAATCTAAGAGATGCCTGAGACATTAATGAAACAATATTCTAAATTCTGATTCTTGCTTTATTTACTGTGGACTTTTTAAAAACCCAGTAACAAAATACACAATAAAGTATACTCTCAAATCATTTCTTAAATATAGGAAATTGAAAATGCAACTCTATCTTCTTCTTAAAAATGTATATTCGGAAAGGTATTAAAAGTCTCCTGAGCATAGAAGAAATATTTCATTTTATAATAATTGAAATGTTCCTCATTTTAACAGCTGCTGCACTGAAGACTGCTAATTAAATGGTTGCTACTTAAATTATTTTTTTCCTTTGATAATGTAGTATTTAAAATCACAAAAATATAATGGTTCATCCTCAAATTAAATAATCGGTAGCTGACAGATATGTTGAAAATAGTAAGGCTTAAATCATCAGTTAAATCAAGGACACTGTAAAGAGGTTAATAATGATATGGTGGCTAAAGAGGAATGGATCTATGGGGACATATTCATATTAAAATTCCTAGCAAAGATGTATCCTATATTGGAAAAAAAGTAAGTGAGAATGTAGAGAAGAACAGTCAGTTATACTGTGATAGTTGAGAAATATTTTGTTATTTTAAAAAATAATGCAGATGTGTTACTTCAGATATTTTTCTGAATTTTTTTAGGAGCCAATGAAATAATGTTGGGTTTTTTTTCTTAAGATTTACATATAAGATTTAGCTTACATTTTTTTAGATACTGTTTTAAAACTAAATAAAGATGAATTTTCCATTCTAATACTACATTATAAGCTCAAAAAGTTGCCTTAGACATTATCTCCCATATTTCCCTGAGAATTAGCAATATTGCACTTCATAATCTAAATTCTTAACTCTATTCCACAAATAGGACAGTCCCTTTCATCCCAGCAAAGGAGAGTGTGGCGGAAGAGATGAACTGATGCTTATTAGCATCCATGAATGATTTCCAGCTGGGTAGATTTTAAAATAGGCAAGGGCATTGACTTCTCTACTAATGATAGCATCCCATGAAGAACAATCCAATGAGAGTGATGACCAACATCAATTAGAATCTAAACTTGTATGGAAATACGTTTAATAAAATTTATGCTTATACATGTAGACTGTAAAACTCTGTAAACATGGACTTAGTCTGTTTGACTCACTTTGCTTGTAACTATGTCTGCAGGATCTCTTTATTAAGGAACTAATTTCCTCCTCTGATGTAGCCCTACTATATGCTCAGGAAACTATCAATTACTTAGATTTTAGTCATAAAGTAAGTTGTATATGTTTATCTCTTAATTCATCAACTCTCGACTCTTTTTTTTTCATAGTTTGTTGACCAATCTTTTATATTGGCAAGCCACATTTTTCTGCCTTACTTTGACCTCTTGTTTAAAACAATAATTATGGACTGATTGTGTGAATAAGCTCAAATTGACCTTTGCTGGTTCAAAGAACATGAAAATATGTTCCAAATATAATACATGGATAATAAGATTTCTAAATTTAATTATATGTAAAAGAAATCTAATCCTTTTTTTACCTAGTAAGTATAATGAATTTTCAGGAACTATTCAATAGACTTCTAGACCAAACATAAAGATCTATTAATACCCTCTAAAACTGAGTAAAAATCATAGAAATAATAGCAGATTAAATGTCAGAGCTTGAAATATAATGAACTATAAGGGCATTTTTACATGGTAGATTAAATAGGATTAAATAGCCTTTTATCTGATAGTTTTGAGTGATTTGTTTCTTTGAAGTAGACTAATAGTATGACAATAGTGACTACCTTATAATTTTTATATATACAGGTTACATTTCTATTCTTGTGGAATCATAATGTGTTATGACATCATTTTAATTATAAATATCATTTTCACCATTGTGTTAAGAATAAAAACCATCCATTTCAGAAAAGAAAATATTTTATCATCCTTCTTTCATCTGTACTTTTGAATCTTACCCCAGGAATATAAACTGCTCCTAGCTAATTACAGTAGTTCATTAAGTCTTCTCTTTCATTCATTTTTTCTGATTTGGTTGGCAAATCAACATAATGCTTCATTTTAATTTGCATGATAAAGTAATGTGGACTGCCATAATGCACAAACTACATGTTCCAAATGATTCCTCTAATAATGTTTTCTTAATTACTACACTATTTATAATAGTATTTTCCCCTCTCTTGCAACTGACAGGAATTCATTAAATAAAGATTATATCAAGCTGGTAGAAATGAGGAAGGATCAGAGGATCACATGAAAACACAAATATTAATCTGTCTAAATTTGGATTAACAAATTAAATCACATGTAATATGAACATGTTTAAAATAATATTCTCTGCATTGCTATAAATCTTATTTAACACAGTCAAAAGCTGCTACCATGAGAAGATACCAAACATTCAGATTGTGAGACAAATTATGACTTCTTGCACCTGTAGAACATCTTTAAGAGTGCTGCTTTTAACACAGCTTTTATCCCGTCATGACTTCATTGAACTTCCATAGACTTTCTATAGAAAATTTACCTGCAAGTAGTATTAGATATTATTCTTGTATTCCTAATAACAGGTTCATTCCTGAAATAGCTCAGCATAGCCAATATATAGATGAGGCAAAGGATAATTTAATTTTGCAGGTTATTCTGTTAGATGCATGAAACAATGCCTGGACAACCAAATATGTGTGTACAATATGCAAATTCTTTAAGGTTCTATTGATGAAATTAAATTTAAATTTGGCCTCTAGGGAAAATGAAGTTCCTAACATATAACATAGTTTCTTAATATATGAAACATAAACTAAGAAACATCTATGTTAATCAGAAGTCTCTTCTATGAGCATCTTTGACATTGAGAAAGAAACTAAATAACAGAGCCATATTTTTTGTATCTATACACTGGGGTGGGCAATTAATTTTCCCAAGGGATCACATGAGAAACTATGACTATTGTGGAGGGCTGAACCAATAGAGCTCTGAAGGTGCAGAAGCAGACATGCATCCACATAAGTAAATTTTTAAAAGCCTCCTTCAAAATAAAAGCAACACAGTTGTATTATATGCACAGTGTAAACTTATTTAAATGTGATTTATAATTTCCAATTGACCTCATGCAGGCCAGACAGGGACAGCCAAAGGGCCATATGTAGCCTGGGGACTGTAAAATGTGCAGGTATGCTATATATCAGCAGTCTCCAACCCCCAGGCCATGGTCCGCTACTGGTCTGTGCTTATTGACAACTGGGTCGTGGGCCAGCGCAGTTCGATTCATGCAAGTGGGTGGCCCAGTGCACACGGGAATGAGCACACAGCTCAACTTTCAGTCCAACTGCATGTGCGTGCATGTGCGTGCCAGCCCATCGCTTGTGTGGCCTAGTTCCCTCTTCCCCCTCCCAGCTGGGCTGCCAAGCCGCAAAAGTTGGGGACTGCTGCTATATATTATTCATACATATAATGTGTGTGTGTGTGTGTGTCTATAAGCACAAACAAAACAGAACTTCCAAAAATATTTCTAAATTTTGATCAAATGAGAGTGCAAAAGTTTAAAACATATTTCATAACAAATTATATATGCAAAACACTTTTTAAATCGCTCTGTTATTTTAATTCTGAGATTTTTTTTAAATAGTTGAATAGTTAAAAGTGGCTCCCCCCTCCCGAAAATAAAGCAGCAGTAGCAATATGGAAAAAATGTCAAAATAAAAATATCCATAAAAGTAGATATGAACTTACGGAGAGTAGAATTTGAATGGCACTATGAATGACTTCTAAGTACTGAAAGTCAATTATGCAACCTGTCACAGAGACATAGGAAATATCATCTATGAGTCCAGGAGCTGAAGGGCGTACCACTCTTCGTATGCAGCCAGGCCCATGTTCTCGCCACCAAGATCGATGCATTGAGATATTAAAGGTCATGAGATCTGTTTCCTAGTAAACAAAACAAAAGAAAGCATTTTTAAAATAAAATTTTAATCATTTAATATGAAAAATATATTTCAAAGGAAATACATACTACCACAGTACAGTTTAAAACAATGAAGGTGAAAATTGCCTGTAAAAAAAATGTGATCTCCTTTTGGAAGAAGGAGATGTTCTTACAACCTAGACAGATATTTCAATATCTATTTCCAAATACGGCAATAAAATGTTAGCTGAACTATAAAATGAGCAGGTACAAAATATTTCATCTGTTTCTGGAAATACAGCACGCTTTGTCAACATTTAGCAAATTTGATAACATACAGAATATCCAAGATAATTCTGAGAGGAAATGTACAATGTTCTTCTCCCATGAATTACTGAAAGCACCTAAAGAATTCTAATGATTCCTTACTACCTCAACACTTTTATCTACAAATCAAGGAAGGTTAGCACGAAGGAAAATTTACAAATAGATTATTTCATGGCTTCAAATTCTAATGTACAGCTCATTTTGTCTAGCATTAATCTCAGCCCAGAGATAACACTTTCATACCATAGTTAAAGCTGGAAACCAAAGGGGCAGGAAAAAGAATATATATGTCCAGTCTGTTAAAACACGGATGTTAAACTCGCCACGTAACGTGACACAATTTTTTTTTGCATTGCCAGAACTGGGGTGGGCGCATGATCAACCAGGTTGCGGGCTGGCAGTTTGACACCCCTGTGTTAAAACAACGAGAAACACGACATACTGGCATAATGCTATAGTTAGGCCTTACAAGGCCTGTAAATTGGACCTGGTTTCTTTTGATTTTAGGTACTCATAAGAAGAGGGAAAAAGCTCTTCTTTCCAATTCTTGGTAAATACTCTAGGCTTTGACTCTTTCTTCATAAATTTCTTCAGAACACCACCCTCTAGTTTTTATTTTTCTTTGCCACCCATTATTGATATTAAGCTTTGCATGTTCATTATTTTTTGCTCTCCCCCTTATGAGCTGGCTGTTTGAATTGTTTTTACATGTTGCAATATTCAATTTCCATAGGTGTTGTACAAAGGATAGAATATGATGATCTGCTGGAATAAAGCCCAATGAGTCTTTCAGAAGTGATGTTGAGATCAGATGGCCTCATTAGAATGATAGATTGAATTATTAGATACTCATCACATGGTAATGCCATTAACAATGTCTTGTCCTCCTACCTTATAATAGTATCATTTGCATAGATAAAGTTGGTATCAAACTATTCTTATCTGTCACCATTGATGGGCCAGTAATTAAGCAATCTGTATCTAACAATATGGAAATATTCATGCAGGGAAATTATAAATTGTTCATATTTAATATACAAAACACTTGCAGTTCATCTATTCCTGCTTATGAAAGTTATTTTTACAAATAAATTTATTGAATTCATTTATGTCAATGAATCATCATGCTCAAGTTGGTTTTGTTGCAAAAGCCCAGGAGATAGGCTCTGTTGTTTCTATTGACTGAATGTTATTTTAGTTACTTACATAAAGTATAGTGATAATGTAATAAACATTGAGGGAATTTAATAATAATAATAATAATAATAATAATAATAATAATAGTAGTAGTAGTAGTAGTAGTAGTAGTAGTAGAACTAGTACTAGTAGTAATAATAATGATGATGATGTTGGAAGGGACCTTGGAGGTCATCTAGTCCTGCTCAGGCAGGAAACCCTATATCATTTCAGACAAATGGCTGTCCAGGATCTTCTTAAAAACTTCCAGTGTTGGAGCATTCACCGCTTCTGGAGGCAGGTTGTTCCACTGGTTAATTGTTCTAATTGTCAGGAAGTTTCTCCTCAGTTCTAGGTTGCTTCTCTCCTTGATTAGTTTCCATCCATTGCTTCTTGTCCTGCCTTCAGGCGCTTTGGAGAATAGCTTGACTCCCTCTTCTTTGTGGCAGCCCCTGAAATATTGGAATACTGCTATCATGTCCCCCCTCGTCCTTCTCTTCATTAAACTAGACATACCAAATTCCAGCAACCATTCCTTATATGTTTTAGCCTCCAGACCTCTAATCATCTTTGTTGCTCTTCTCTGTACTCTTTCTAGAGTCTCAACATTTTTTTACATCGTGGTGACCAAAACTGGATGCAGTATTCCAAGTGTGGCCTTACCAAGGCATTGTAAAGTGGTATTAATACTTCACGTGATCTTGATTCTATCCCTCTGTAGGATTGAAAATATTCTGGCATTTTTGTTTCTTTATTAATGCTCAGTAGAGATTAGGATTCGCTACCCTAACCAGGAATAGATGTTTTAAAAAACATATATTGAGAACTTGACATAGAATATACATAATGCATCATATATAAATTATACTTCAGCCCCTACGTTTGACCATGTAATACTATTATATTCACAGTTTTAGATCAAATGTAAAAATACTCTAGTTAGTTGCAGCTGAAAATAAATTGGAGATGCTCTTCAAGGACCAAGAAATTATTCAAATACTTCTACTATCTTTCAGGTACTTTCCTGAACCCAAAACCACAGGTATTATTTGGTTTGGGGATTATTTGTGACTTTATTTATTCTGAGCTTTCCTGAAACTGTGCTAACATGACTCACTATCTCCAATTTGTCGTCCACAGTGTGTTGTTTTGTTATTATATAAACCAATAAATAAATATTTTCTGTACAATAAGGCATAACTCAAACTAGTGCAGATATTTGGTTAATACAGAAGATTTCTATGGGAAATGGTTTATATTCTCACATTCTATAATAAATATTTAAACATAAGATACATTATATTTAAGCACAGTGAAACAACACAGAACATTAAAATAGCCACATATAAAATGAAATTTATTTCTTATAAAATAAAATGTCTGTACATTTATACAGCAAATAAATGTATCAGTTGATACATTAGGAGAAATATTCTATTATTTGACATTTATTTATCAAATGCCAAATAAAAATAGTTTGTCACAGAGAATCAACACGGGAGAATGAGAATTTATCTGTATCATTTTCTTAAAATCAGAAAGATTTGCAGCCGAAATAATTATTCCAGTTAAAAATTGGAAATTAAGGATTATACTATTTTTAAAACATCTTGTGACTTATATAAAAAGTTAACCTTAATTAAAATGGACACTTAATTCTAGAATAAAATGATTAATGACACTGTTCAAATGATTTTTGAATTTATTTTTAAACCTGCAAGAGAAACTCAGATCATCCAATTACCATTACATCAGATAAATGTCCATGATTTCCAAAGGCTAATTAACAAAGAAGTTTGAAATGTAAAAGGTTAACTATTCTTATTTATGAAAGTTTTTAAAATAGTGGAGACATGCACTTTTTAAAAATGAGGAACAAATTTAAATGGAAATGCTTGGCAATAAAGTTAACCCAATTTGTAGACAAATAGTCGCAGGAACAAATAATTTATTATTAGATAAAGGAAATGAGAATATGGAAATAAAATGTTACCATTTTAATTAAACCAATTATGTGCAAACAACTTAGCACTTATTATTAAGAACTATATAGTAGATCTACAAAATAATCTATTCCCCACCCACTGTCATGCCTGAATCTGCTGAGGAAAATGAGCTGGAACTGGACCCTATTGAGGTTGAGGGAGAGGTGTCTGTGGCTTCAGAGGAATGTGGGGAAGAGCAGGCCGAGGCAGGCCACGGCCTTTCAGGATTGGGACAGGATGAACATCAGAGGCAGAGCTCAGGCGATGAGCAAGGGCCACCCACTCCTGATCCTACAGCACAGAAAGTGGAGAGGAAGGAACAATGCAGGCAGGCTCAACTACTCAGGAGGAGAGCGCTCCGCCCCTCTCCACAAGGCACACCTGCAGACTGGGACTTAAGGAGACGCTGTGGGGAGGGGCATTTGTCGGGAACAAACACTGATTTCTTGGAGTTTTGTGTGGTGTTGCTGATCTCTTGTTCTGTGTTGTGATTTCTGCTTGGAAACCCTGAAACTCTGACCATTGGACTGGCTGACAAACTTGATTTGGTGTTCAAAGACCTTGGATTGAATTTTGGCTTCTCTTCTGAAACTGCTCAGGCAAGCTTGTATTTCCACAGACTTGTTAGATTTTGGATGTATGTTTCATTCCTTGTTATCTATGTGGCCTTGAGTAAATTACTCTCCTAATCTAACTGTATGTGAAACTACTTGCAGCCAGAGACTGCTGAAAGTCTGTGTGTGTTTCTTTATTCTGGGGCTTGCCAGAAACATGGGAACATTTGGGGAAAATTGGACCAAATAAAGGGTGGTTTGATTGTTGATTGTTTTGCCTTTGTGCTGTCCCCTGGGTCATCACACCCACTCCCTCAGGTCTTGAGGTAAATTGAGCGTATCCACATTAACAGAATAACAGAGACCTTGGAATCTTCTAGTCCAGTCCCACAATAGTCATACTCCACTCAGTATCAAAGATGCAGCTGTAGAGATAGTCAACAGTATTAAGTATCTGGGGGTACAGATAACTAACAATCTGAATTGGTCTCTCCGTATGTCATCCTTAGTGAAGCATACAAACCAGCATCTACATTGTCTGTGTCGGATGAGAAGAGTACATCTTTCTCCTTCTGTCCTGCCCACCTTTTACAGAGGCATGATTGAAAGCATTTTAACAAACTGCATCCCTATCTGGCTTGGTAGCAGCAATGCCTCAGATAGAAGGTCCATACAGAGATTAGTAAGGACAACCAAGAAGATCATAGGAAGCTTGCTTTATTTTATTTAGGATGCTGCTTATAAGTGCTATGTGCGTAGAGCTCAAAGCATTATTAGAAACCCCATGCACCCATTTTACGTTCTGTTTCCATTGCTCCGCTCTGGGAGGAAGTTTCGAAGTATTTCTAGCAGGACAACCCGATTCTGTAATAGCTTTGTTCCCTATGCCATACGTCTGGTAAACTCGCAAGATTCATTTTTCTTGCCATGCACATGTATACATAACCTGAACTAGACTATTGTTTCTCTGTGTCATATAAT